AAAGGAAATAATTTCAAGTTCTCAATATCTCTTGTGCAATAGATAGAATATCACGACAATAGTTTCCACCATTCTTCACTATCGGTGATGTTACTGTTTTTAAGGTGAGTTGAAATTATGACGTTGATGGTAGCGAAACAAGTTGCTCCTCAATTTACTTCTACAAGCAGTAGACCGCAACAGGCTGACGATGTATTTTTTTTTATGTTAGAGGGAGCAGACTAGCAGACGGGTCACCTGATGGAAAATAACCATCTCCGGCCATGAACGTCTGCAACTCAAAAGCCTTTTAGAAAGGAGTACGTTTTCTTTTCTTGAAGGTTTGAAGGTCTTATCTTCGAAAAGCATCGAACGAATTACTGCGGCGCGGAGAACTCTTCCCAGAAACCGAGGCTTTTGTGATCGCTATTCATGATTAGGTTAGGGATACCTACTCTTAACTATCAAAAACGCATAATCCGTACCGCTAACTATCCTACCGACTAATGTAGACGATGTCATAGCATTTCCGAAATCATCCAACATATAACTGGCTCTTGTAAATCTATTGTACAAACAAACAAGCATGACCAAGTTGCAGCAATAATCCATCAAAATCTAGCTCACAAATAAATATACATTTATTAAAAATCAAATAGCTTATTATAAATATAAACCTAGTAGAATATTGGAAAATAATGCATTTAAAATGAATATATAGGGAACAACCCATATACTATAATAGACTGGACATAACAATCCTGGATAAAGTTAACAGCAAAGTTTTTATAATATACATGTAACACACACAATCTTCTCACAACACACACAGAAAAGATGTCAAAATACAAATACTTAGCTACTGAAATAAAATGGTAATGGCACGTAGATGGAGTTCAAATTATACCTATTGTGATGTCTACAACTAGTGTAGACTCTTCAAGATAGCTTCAACACACTTGGAATGCTGAAATCCACCTTCACGCTCATTCAAAAAAAAGTCCTTTTTAACGCATCCCGTCTCACACGCAAATGTTTCTCTTCATTCTCATCCTAATTTGGCATCATCCCATCCATTATTTATATTTGATTTTTTTTTGTTTCTGTTATTTAAAATATTATTTTCATCGCCTTCCTGATGTTGAGAGAGTTTTATTAGTATTGCCAGTCGCGGTGACAGGTGTTTACGTGATTTTCAGAATACAAAGAGTTGTTCAATATTTACTATGTAATTACAGTGGTTGTTATCAGAATGTTTGGTGAATATAATTTATTAGCACTACTTCTATTATATCTACTGAACATTAGTTGATACACCTTTATATTTGTAATTAGTTTGTGACGTAGGTGGGACACGTGCCATACAATGTATTTGTGTTCTCAGTGGGAAATTACGAAAGTAATGTATAAAAACTTTTAAACTATGTAGGTCCGTATGGACTTTTGAATTTACTATGACTTTATCACGACTTTATGAAGCCTGTAGTTTTCGTAGGGCGATACTTGTATGTACCGTGCCACTTCTTAGTCTCATAAAATGTATTTTTGCTCTTATAACGGTTTGTAAATCGGTAGCTTAGGAGTGAAAATACGTTTTATTATGTATATTCAGCCTAAGGATAAATTTTGACCCGTTGTTCTTAAAGTAAACAGCTAACGTTATTATATTTTCGGTTAAACTCTAAAATCGCCTAAGTTTGTTATTCTTCTCTCTCTGTCTTTTTTAGGAAGTTGATAGGAAAGGTAGCCAGCAGAGAGATGTTCAATTAAATCTGTTAAAGCTTAGTTACGCTTATTGGTGTGACTACTGCCACACATAAGCTGGTTAAGTATACATATTTTTTCCATACTTTAAGTATCCTATTTAATCCATTTACCCCACCTTACTTAAAGGAAAGTTTTGTGTTCCTTGGTGACACACACCTAAGACTCCTAATCTTTGGAGCCACACTACCATATTTTATGACAAGTCTTTTACGGTGCAGGCTATGCAGATTATGGAACGCCTTTTCGATATCCATTAGACGAACATTGAGACCATTTAAGAATATGGTCAAAGGTCACTACCAAGATTCACAAGTACTCTTTGCTCTCAAAAGCTTCACATGATTAATCTGATTAAATGGTTATTAATGTATATTGTTTGGTTATAAGTCCAGTAGCACTTTTACGAAGTTATAGCATTATAACTAATTGGACTTACGACCTTCTTCTATAAACGTATATCCTACACACACACATACACAGACTACATGCGTATGATAATAGTAACTAATTGAACGGTAAAGAAATAGACACAAAACCGGCGCGAGCGAATATGAACATTATGATGCTACTGCACTCATGACCTTTGACTGAACATCTTTATATTGTATGTATATGCATGTGTGTGTATATGTATGGCCATATTTTTATATTATTTTAACACTACTTTAGCTTTAATACACCTAGACTTCCCCTTGTTTCTTTTATCTAAAAACAAACGTTAACGTACTGTCGATTTGTCCAGAGGTTGCCTGTAAGAGATATCTTTTAGCAATAAGACGCCCTTTGTACATATATTTTTCTGTTATATCTATATATCATTGTGTAATTGGTATACAATAATTAAAGAAGTGAGGAAAAATTATAACAACCACCGCATTTTTATTTGTAAAATTACTATATATATATATCTGCCATTGTGTAAAAGTATATAAACATAGTAATAATTTACTATTAAATTTCAAAGGGCCGCATGTAAGCGATAAACAAATATGACTACACGGTCATCGTATTAAACTTGACCGAGTTGGCGTTGCCCCAAACTGAGAATGGACTAAATTACAAGCTACAGTAGGCAGTAAATATATTATAATCACTGTGATTAATAATATTATTTAAAGGAACATTATGATTAAATAAACAGCTTTCAATACGTTCTGATAAAAAGATCTCAAGCCACTGAGCAGACTATAAAGCTTAATGATTTCTTTTTATATTTAAATTATGATTCTCGTGCGTTGTGTTAATAAAATGGTTATATTTGATGATTATGATTCTTTTTATTTACTATTATTTTTTTAAATATGGTAATGTAATGTCATATGTATTTGTTCAAAATATTACCTACTTATTTATTTAGGCAAATGAAATCTTAAATTAGTTGTATAGTGACACGAGTAATACATTATTTCAGCTATAACGCTTGTTTTTCTGAATTAAATTATTTGATTTTTCCGTAATGTCGTTTATACATATTAAATGTCGGAGAAAGCTCTTTTGTAAATGTTAATTGCTTGGCTCTTGCTAATGACTTTATAGTGGAAATAAACAACGCCAAACTTTGAACCAAAACTCTATTCGTAATTCATGGACTTGCCTTGTCATTACTACAGCCAAGAACGCTTTGGGTATACGATTGGATTTGCCATTGTCTGTTTTGTGATACTAGCGATCCGCCCTGGCGTCGCTCGGTTGCAATGTAGATACTACTACTACTGTCAGTGACGGTGTCGGTGTCAGTGTCGGTGTCGGTGTCAGTGTCGGTGTCAGTGTGGAGTAATTAATTATACATTATTATGATAATAGTATTATTATTATTAAGATGTCTGATGATGTTTATATGTTCTGTTGATGTTTATATGCAATATTTAAAGGCCTCTTCCGCCCACGTTGCCTCAGTATTTTAATTCTCTGATATCTACTAAGTCATTTACTTTAATGATATGCTGGACAAGGCAGTTTTGACCTACATTAAATGCACAACGTATCAATCGCATTTATTTGGATAATTAGTAATACTGTATTGTTCAAAATAGTTTCGTAAACCCATTATTTTTTGTAATATGGAAAAAGATAAAAATGGTTACTGTGTGTGATTGTTTCTAATGAATAGGCATATAAAATTGCGGACTTTTTTGTGGATATTTTTAGGATATTCAACTCCGTACTACATTATTTGGATCTACGTTGTAAGGTTTCGTCAGCGTATGCAATTCAAGCGCAAAGATCTAATAAGCATACAAGAAAAAAAGCGTCTCTATTTTATAATATGTAAAGAGTTTTGAATAGATTTGTACATATAGTTACTCATCCCGACTAATGTGTATCGTTCGGCATAATTTTAATAGATCATAAAAAAAACAATTAAAATTCCATAAATGTATTTTGAGTAAAGTTGTCTTAAAGGAATTTAATAATTTTAATTTATTTGCATTATGTGTACCATTGGCCTGATTTATTACAATAATATTTTTTTTTTGTTTTGTGTACCAACATATCTGTAAAATGTACGCTATTTGAATATAACATTATTTATTCAAGAAGCCCAAAATCGATCTAAGTGGCGTGTAAATGGGAGAGGCCTATGTCCAGCAGTGGACTGCGATAGGCTGATGACAATGATGATGATTCTTTATTTTAAAATGGAAGCTTGACGAGAATTTGCCTATAAATGTCAGATTTGTCATCGCAAGATTCTTGGTAATCTGTAGTACTTTCCGATAGCCGCATACTTAGTACGTCTGATCTATACCTACTTTTAATTTGAGTTTAAGATACCGAAACTTCATTTGTATGATTTTCACTTATCCGACGCACCGATTGAAGTGATTTTAAACAATTCTAACAAAAATCACTAAAAAACTAGCTGCAATCGCGGTGGATTTGCTGTCATGTTTTGAAGAGTTTTGTTGTCTATCTTTTAAATTCACCATCAGATTTACATATATGAAATTTAAATGGGACCATTTTGGAATAGCTTCTTTTCGATAAAAAAAGCATCTGAATTGATAACCTTCTCCTTTTTGAAGTCGGTTGAAAAAGACTTCTACTATTCATGTCCTAGCTTTATGATCGAACATTCGTTAACAAGTGAAATTAGATTAGATTAAGCGAATACCCTTTTTAAGGGGGCAATTTTAACAGATTAAATTTCATGATTTTTATTAAATGGTACTTACTATAAAGAAAAGAATAGCAATAGCAGCAACATTTCATAGAAATCGTACATAAAACATTTAAGTAATATCGGTACTTACTGACAATGTGGATCATAAAGGAGGCGAAGACGACCATCCATCCCCACCCTCCGTCTGGCGGCGGAGCGGGGCTCTCTGAACCTTCCCGCGAGCTTTCCGACGTTTGCGCACCACTCCCATTTTTCCCATTCTTCACTACGTCATGAGACATTCTCGAATTTAACTTTGTAAATTGCTCTCTTTGACACGATACTTTGGCGTGACTAAGGCAATTTCTTTGATATGAATTCTTATGATTTCATAAATATTACTGCACTAAAACCTAATTTTACATTAAAACTATGTTGTACGTTTTTTGTTATATATTGTCGCTAAGATATGTTAGTGATTTATTTATGTGCTTTTTAAATTTATGTACAGGTACTAAAAGTATTATATATTACTTATTATAAAAATTATTTTATTGTAAGCGCAAGGAAGCTAATCTTGCGGAAGAAGTAAGTAGAAAATTATTGCGATGATTTCCTATCTGTCATCAAAATTCATTTTGCGATTGCGTTTTTGTAATATTGAACTTCAAACGGCCCAGTTTGTCATCTGTAACAAGAAATTAAGTAGTATTAAACAATAGTAATAGAACATTGGTGTTTGGGTAAATTAATTGAAAGTACTGATTGTCTTTGAGTGAACATTCCCACTTGTAATTTGACTTTTCTTACATTACCGTTCTGACTGTTGGCTAACATATCATCGTTCACTGCTGGACATTTTTTAATTATTTTAAATTATTTGTAGGCCTTTCTAAGAAGAGGCCTATGTCCAGCAGTGAACTATTAAAGGCTGCTAGTGTGGTGGTGGTGGTGTTTGCGAAATTCTTTGTCTTTACACTATAATATCATTACTTTATCGTTAACTTGTAACAAAAATGTGATATCGACATTACTTCATAATCATTGACGATTAATAGTTGCTGTAACTTGACACTGTTTCATGAAAAACGTCATTTACATTTACCTCGTTAACGGTAGATGGAAGTACGCTGAAAATTTTCACTTTCACTAATGCCCAGCCTCCAAGATTTTTACTTTTACTCGTGCGAAAATAACGACCAACAAATGTGTCGATGTAACTCGCCAAGTAGTTTTGGTACACCCATGGGAATTGTTGTAGGTGTTACCGCAAAACCGTCATTGTTACTCGTACCCGTTACTCGTACTCTTCAATTGACCTAGTCATCCCGTGAGTTCATTCAGCAATGAAATTGACTGGTGTAGATACTGGTCCAAGCAGGCAGGTTAAATACATATGTAGCGCAGTATAATAATATAAAACTACTATAATGCTCTATATAAAAACAATAATTTCAACTTATGTCTCCTCGATGTGTCCTATGTACAACTAGTGCTTTTACGTATTCTTTACTTTATCAATTTTCATGTATTTTTTTTTATCTTAGAGGGGGCAGACGAGCAGACGGGTCACCTGATGGAAAGTGACCATCACCGTCCATGAACGTCTGCAACTCAGGAGTCACAAACGCGTTGCTGGGCTTTTATGAAGGAGTGCGCCCTTTTCTTGAAGGTTTGAAGGTATCGGTCCGGAAATACCGCAGTTAGCCCGTTTCATAGATTGGTTGTGCGAGACAAAAAGTGTCTTGAAAAGCGCACAGTAATGGAGCGTCAATTATCCAGGTGATGGGAATGAAAATTTTGCCTTGTGGAACGATGGCGGCAAGTTGCGGCCGGTATTAATCCGTACAATTCCTCGGAGCACTCTCTATCGACAATTCCGACAGTATTCCATATGCGGCCGGACTTGCGCCTTATAGAGCTGAAGGAAGTATACATTTTGGGAGTTACACATTTAACATTCAATTCATTTTATTATTGATTGTGTAGATATAAGTTCTAAAATGGACACTGATATTTTTATTGTGTAACAAATTTTATGATTTACAATGCGTTTTTATTACAAACAATATTAAAGCAAATGATAAATACAAGTTTATCACTGAATGTATAAAATGGAACAGAAAATTGACAGCTGTGATATATTTGATAACAAACAAGGTCGTTTTTTGAGCCTCGGCTTTGGTTCTAACTTCAAGATTATCTGTAGAACATGTGAAAAGTACATATTGCATTAAAATATTAATTCTTTAGTTATCAAATAGTATAAAATAAGTAGCAAGATAATTATTGCATTATATAGATAATTCTTGAAGATTATTTGATGATATTGACTCTAAATAAAAAACCTTTTTAAGTTTAATGTTTAAGCCAACGTGAAGCTACTTTGACTTCACGTTCGCTTAAACTTTAAATGTAAAAAGGTTTTCTTTATTTTAGAAATTTAATACTCAACACAGGTTTATTAAGGAGTTAAATTGAATGCGTTTGTAACAAATTTATGGTAATGTTATGCAAAAACTTTTATGAACTGAAACAATATTTTACTAAGAAATATTTACTGGATTTGTAGCTTTAATTGAACTTCAAGTTATTGAATTATTTCCTATACTTATTAATAAATTGAAATGTATGAAGAATGCTGCAAAATTTATGGTTAGAAGGCACTGCAGCTGATACTCCGCGGTATCTCACACGAACAAAGGACCCTAACTATTTGTTTATAGCTGCCTATGAAAATTAGTGATAGATGAGTCAATTCATAGTAAGCGTTAGGAGAAAATGATTAAGTAACTTTTTGGATCGAAAATGAACTACCTACTTCGACCGAACAGTACTTTTAACGAGTACCTGCAGGACTCTCTACTTCAACACAACCCTTTTGATTTTAAACATAATTAGGGAGCCTGAAACTCATATAGAGTAAATTCATATATAGTTTTATGAATTTACCTAAAATAAATTAAAAAACTCAGCTTATTTGTTAATGCATAACTATTATACTCTTACTTCTGACAACAAGCACTCTAACGTCTGTTGATTAACTTTATCTTTCAACTTCAACTTTAATTATACTTCAACTTTAATTATATATTATATAAACTGTAATATAGTACTTAACATACTAGTTGTCCAATGGTTTATACAAGATATTAAAGGAATATTTTGGGAAAGTAAGCGCCAGCCAGTCCTGAAACCATTGGTGGAGCACCCAGACCATGTGATTTCGGGTTGGTATGGTTGTTAGTGGAAACACCGGAGATCCGAAGTAATTTACTACCCCGTCACTAAAAAACGTCTGTAACGATTCGCTTATATTTCATAGTAGTATTTTTTTATAATAATGTTTTATATTTTATTAATATTAAAGGTTTGCATAAGAGGTGTATTAAATTTAATCTTTATTAAGTTATTTTATACTTTTTAGTTTTTGAAGTCGGTTTTTTAAACGTAGTTTTTTTTTATTTTTTACTTTTTAGTGTCTGAAATAGGTTGTTCTGTTAACTACAGTAGGATTTTTCTAGATTACATCAGGTAAACTATAACATTTCGTTGCTTTTTATTGTCATATATATAATAGTAATTTTATTAGTTTTCAAATAGTAAGTAGCTAGTAAATCCTACGAAAGGTGAAGCGCGCCTTAAACAATATAGATCCCAAGAAACGGCAACGGAAAAAAGGAATCGACTCCGAAAATATGCTGTTCGAAACTCTATTTCACGTTCTTGTGAAACAGAGATAGATCGTGAAGAACGTTTGTCAGCTATGAAAAATTATATAAAATTACGTTCACGCCAAGAAACTCTTCAAAAGTATGAGTCTAGACTCGCTAAGATTCAAGAACGTCTTGCCAAAGAGACGTCTGAACAGCAAGCGCATAGGTTAGGCCTTATTTATGACCGTCTAGCCAACAAGTCTGCTGAGCAGAGGGCTCATAGACTCCTCCTCCTCCTCTCTCATAGACTAGAACCATCTAAATTATTACACACACCACATGATGACAAAGCACTACAGGAAATGCAACGAATAAGACAGTTAAATCTAGATATTGTTTTTTACTTATTTTTAAAATTTCCTTTTTATTTATTTCTTCGTTCCAAAATTTTATATGCAATCGTATTGGTTATAATATTTCTCAATTTCTCTACTCCGCAAGCTCGCTCCGCTTCAATGACAGGTAGCCTAAGACCCACTTATCGGGACACGGGTTAATAGTAATATTTAATCAACTTAAATGAAAACTCCTAAAAAGGCCGTACACAAACTAAAATTATATCATCCAAGTAAACAATAATATTCATTAAAAATGTTCATAAAATAATATATAATCAACTTAAATGAAAACTCCTAAAAATATGTTCATAAAATAATATATAATCAACTTAAATGTAAACTCCTAAAAAGGCCGTACCCAAACTAAAATTATATCATCCAAGTAAACAATAATATTCATTAAAATGTTCATAAAATAAAAACTACCGGGCCTAAGTATGTTAAATTTTTATGAGACCAAATGGCAGCTATTCCGCATCAAACTAAATCGAAGAATCACGTAAATCGGATCATAAATCGGATAAAAAAAACAAACGAATTGAGAACCTCCTCCTTTTTGAAGTCGGTTAAAAATACGGGAATCTTTGCCATATACATAGATAACTAATATTGCCTCGATGGATAAGATAACGACTATATGAGTTGGGGTACATTGTTTTAGTCCTATGTACTTAATAAAGTGATATAATCTACTATATCAAGATATTGAATATCCAAATTAATATTCAGTGATTAAATATTATGTGCTGATATGAAGTCATGTTTTTCATTTTCTACTTGGCTTCTCTACCTTTTTGTAAGACGAATGATGTGCAGAAATACAGCATTTGATTGTAATTGAGTATTTTATAAATGAACGCTAATTCATATAGATAGTATTTATAGTAAATCTTTCCATATGGTTTCTGACTGCGCAGATGGCGTAGTGGTTTAAGCGGTCGCCACGCCGCTGCTACGATGAGTGTTGTGGGTTCGATCACCACATGGGACTACACTTTGTGTGATCCACAAATTATTATTCTGAGTCTGGGTGTTCTTTGTGTTCGTTTCATTTATGTTTGTAAAGTCCCCCACTCACGCCACAGGATATATTGCACATGAGGAGGTTGTGTTAAAAAATATTGTCTAATAGAAAAACAACAGGCTGTATTATTATTTTTAGTATTGCGATTTAATCTATTTTACCTTAAGGTATCCTGTTCAGAAAAAAAAACGAAATGGTATCTTAAAAGGTTTAAGATAAAATTT